CGTGGCAGTGAATTAGAACAAAAAAGGAAAATATTGCTGTCTAAAAATTCAAACAAACGGCTTCGAGTTTTTCAGTTTTAAAATTCTGAAAAAATGTAAAGAATAAAAAATACATAAAATCTAAAACTTTAAAAGTAAGAAACAAATTCAAAGACTGTAAGAACTGGAGCAAAATATTACTTTGATGCCATAGCGAGGGAGTTCATGAGAGTACGCAGCACAAACACATATGTCACCGACTATCCGCGAATACAAAATCTAAACAAAAAATGTTATCACCTCACTTCAAGAAAAAACAATATTACATCTTTTGAGCACATTCCTACTTCTCAGTGTGCTTCTTTTCAAACGGTATCTGTTGTACAGGTAGGCTGCAGCTTACAGAGCAAACGAAATCATTCCATGAAATTCTTTAGTATGAAAACTGTTCACTAGATTTAGCGACGAAGATAAGAATTATCAGTATCACCCTATATAATGATTTCTCAAAAATCTTTCAATTTAAAGTTTGGGAAGATAATTTGAAAACTTCTAGAGATTAACAATTCAGTCAGAGCTTAAACCGTTACCAGAAACTGCCAAAGACAAGTTTCCAATCATTACTAAAAAGAGGTGAAGAATGTTTGCTTTTACTGTAACTTTACTTCATTATAGCAAGAGACACACGCTAACCAGTAAGCACAAAGAGCATCTGCAAAAAGAAACAAATTTTGAGAGTCAGATTCATACCTGGGCAATAATATCTTTGTTGGTGAAACGAACGACTAAGCGATACTTCGGAGTATTATACTTATTCTTGTCTTGAACTGTAAGACGCCTTCTTGCGTAGTAATCGGTTTTTCCCTCTCGCCTTCTTTTTAATTTTACTTGAAAACGCTTGAAATATGCTTTATTCTTTACAACCTTCACAAAACCCATCGTTCCCCTACAATAAAACCAAAATATTATGCGAGTTAACGTTTTTCTAAAAGTATCGCATTTGCACACGGCATGTTGTCCAATGGAAAACGTCAGGGTAAGAAGTACATCAGCGAAGCAATAATAAGTTTTAAAAAGATCGTAGACTAGGCCAAGTCAAAAAACAGTAGTCTCGGAAAATTTCAATGAAGTTTTTAGAATTTCATGGAGAAATATAAAACCACAGACTACAACCAAAATCCACTACTTCCGGAGCACTTTAGGAGATATCCGTCAGCAATTGCTGTTCCCAGACATCTGTCAAAACCAATGAAAGGAGAGAGTTAACAAAAGCACTGGTTGCCGCCTAATTATAGAATACTCAAGCCAGGAACCTAGTCCCTTTTGAGCGACGACATCCAAAATCCACGAGATCACAAAATGAAGTTTCTAACACACTGCGCAGGTAAGAATCCTGATATAGACCTTTGAAGTTACGTGCTTGAAGCTGCCCTAACTGTGCCGAAAAATGATACTCAGCTGAACGAATTTTAAATTTTAACATTTGAACAAACTTTTCCTTGCAGCTCAATAATTAAAGTGGTCTACCGTAATGTACAGGTTCCTGACGCAAAAATACCATATTTTTCTAAACAAACGCAACATTCCTCTGCCCTTTTTCAACCCTATCCAGGAATCCTGTTTTACTTCTTTAGTTTTCAAACTGACGCCTAACTTACAACCATGTTTTCCGACTTGTGAACTTGAAGCAAAGCTTGCTTGAAACCCACAACATTGTAGAAACAAGAGGATTAGATTAGCTCCAGCGTTTTCCTTTGTTATATGCAGCTTACGCTGCCTTCTAAATTGTTCAAGTTCTTCATAGGGAAAATGGATGCGCTAAATGTCTCTCTGCTGAAATATATTACATTTAAGAACACCGGATAAACTGTTCTCATAGATTTACGTCTATGAATTTTCATTCTGCCACTCCAAGATGCAATTTTTTAAGTTCTTCATGAAATGTTAGAATGTCAAAGAATTCAAATCACCGTTTTAAAATTTCAATTAAAAAATTTGAAATTTACAGTTACTCCCGTGAAAAATATTCTCCACCCTCCTGTACTTGACAGCTAAACGCTGGTTTTGGCTTTTTTAATTCATCAGAGTAACACTTTTTTTCTCTCATTTAAATTTTGATTCATTTCTGCTACATGCAGCATAACTTTCTGTTAAGAAACGTTAATTGAAAAGTTGTATGTGACTTTCAAATAAGCAGTCAACGGCAGTTGATTTTTGTTTTTAGATTCCATAACTTTTATGAGCTACAAGAATTTGGTGAAGCAAACGCAAGATTCATTTTTTTGCTCTGCGTGGAAATACGGTATCCCCTAATAGACTAACTTTTCGAAAAAAATTTCGTATGAGCTAGAAGAAATAACCGTGGCTCAGGATGATACAAGACAATTTTTATACAAAATATTATTCTTAATAAAAAAATAAGGGTTTTTCAATACGACACAAGGTGCTCTAAATTTTTAAAATGCATATCATAAGAATAAAAATTTAAATTTAGTTTTTTAGCACCTACATCCTATCTTACTCGAGAGCGGAGATGCCTGCTTTGCTGAATACACTTTTCGAGTCCCATATCTAGAAAGCGAGCGCTACTAACCAGACAAGCCCAAGAAAATTGGACGGCGACAAAAACTTTACTGCCTGACAAGAGTCGATAAGCTTTCGGTAACTATGAGTTTAATTTTCGTAAAAACTTTCTAAGTTTAGGCTAACACTACACAGAACTCAAAAATGAAAAAAAAAAGTTGTACGAGGATGGATAAAAAAAAAGTTATATTTACTCGCAAAGTAGACCAGTAAACCAAGAAAAAAATAACACAACAGCACGTCTCGGCTAATATCTCACCAGGGAAAGTGTATTTCAGCAAAAATTCAACAAGCCACTTGTTGACAAAAACTTGACGATTTGAACAACGCCAAAATTACTACACATTTCTCACGGCAACGATGTTAATAATGCCCGAATATGAACTTAGATCGACATTTGCCCAAATTGCCAGCCGGCAGTGTTACTGTAACTGTGGTCCCGGCGTGTCAACATTTTCGCACCAAGTCGGAAATGAAGACGCCTATATATTAAGATCCTCATTGTGCTTCAACTGAATTTGTTCCTGGTAAACTAGTAAAGAAAAAATTTTACTCCGACAGTGTTCTGGAAGAATCTATCCCTACGTGCGCTTCTGTTCTGCAGCTATTTTCTGTTTCTTACGCTGGGTCACCAATTCTTTCCTCTCTATCCTTCAATGACACACCTTGACACTGCTTCAGGCTGTTAAGTTTGGGAAACCAAAGTGAGAAAATAGATCAATGCGTATTTCGGCTTGTAGTTTACGAAGTTAGTCTGAAGTTATTGATCAGACAGATGGTCTTCCTCAAAACGAAGTAAACATAGTCTGAATTTCCTTTATAGCATTGGTGCAGAACAGAACTGCAATCATCCAGAAATACACAAATAAGTGGAATTTCTCAATTTCACGGTAGACAACCGGAAAGCCTGAAAAATATTTAAGCGTGTTTGTAAAGATAGTGAAAGCCGACAAAAAA